CAGGCCCGTTTGTCGGGCTGCTGTTTGGCGGGGGGGGACCCAGCTGCAGCGGTGACAGCTGCGGGAGGACCCCAGCCCAACGCCGCGGCTTGGAGTGGGGAGGCCGGATGATAAGAGACTCCCCGTGGGGCTCCGGACACAGCCAGGGGGTAGCCCGCGCGGCAGGACGCCTGGCCCCGGAGGCCTGCTGGCCCGCGTGGGACAGTGGTGGGCCCACCTGCTCGAGATCGGGGCTCCGGGAGCGTGCGCTGTGAAAGTCTGGCTCTGGGAGCACAGTTCTAACCTTCTGTCCATCAGGGAGCTGGTGGTCACCATGGCAATGAGGGAGCTGGTGGAGGGCGAATGTGGGGGTGCCAACCCGCTCATGAAGCTGGCCACTCACTTCACCCAGGACAAGGCCCTTCGGCAGGAGGGACTGAGGCCTGGCCCCTGGCCCCCGGGAGCCTCAGCTGCAGAGACGGTGAGTGTTCTAGGGCACGAGAGCCCGTTTGTCGGTCAGCCCAGTAGCTGCTTTCTCTGTTGTTACAAGTAATAGCAGTTAGCACACAGTGGCGATGGTGTGAGCACCGTGCATCTTGACACAGAGGACAACTGTTTTATAGACAAAGAAGCCGAGGCTTTGTGAAGGCTTTTCACTTGCCTCACTCAGGTCACCTAAGCAGTAGTTAGAGTTGGTGTGTGGTGGTGGTGGTGGGGTAGTCTGGAATATTGCCTCTTTTCTTCCTTCCTTAGGTTTCCAAGCCTTTGGGAGTAGGTTCTGAAGATGAGGTAAATAAGACAAGTTTCTTGTCTCTCTGTCTGTCTCTGTCTCTGTCTCTGTTTCCCTGTCTCTCTCTGTCTCTTTTGGTCCGTGATTTTTTCTTTAAAACCTTTAAACAGTCCACTCATACTTCACTTTGAACTCTCTTCACCAAATGAGATTTGTGTGTCAGTGTTTTCTTCTACTCTTTTTGGTTTCCAGATTTACAGATAGGTTTTTTTCTTTTTTTTCTTTTCTTTATTGTCTCCAGTGTCTGTTTTCTTTCTGTCTGACATCAGTATCCCCATCCAGTCGGCCCTGCCCCTTTCTGAGGTCCCCTCAGCCTAATGGTTCATCTCACCATCTCTCTGCAATAGTTGGTGGCAGAATTCCTGCAGGACCAGAATGCACCCCTTGTATCCCGTGCCCCTCAGACCTTCAAGATGGATGACCTCTTGGCAGAGATGCAGGAGATTGAACAGTCAAACTTTCGCCAGGCTCCTCAGAGAGGTGGGTTGAGGGTCTGGTGAGAAGACCAGTGTTTTCTGTGCACAGAGGCCAGAGGGCTCCTATCCTTTGATTTTGCTGGTGTCAGCAGAGTGGGGAGACAAAGGAGGTGGCATCTAGGAGTGATGGGTGCTTGTTTCCTTTACTTATCTTCTCTTGTCTCTTTTCAGCCCCTGGTGTAGCAGACTTGGCCTTGTCTGAGAATTGGGCCCAGGAGTTTCTTGCGGCTGGAGATGCTGTGGATGTAGCTCAGGATTATAATGAGACTGACTGGTCCCAAGAATTCATCGCTGAAGTCACAGGTGAGGCTTGTGGGAAAATCTGTACTATTAGTACTGAAGTACTAATTCCACTTAGGGTGTAAGGTGACTTTTAGCTGTAATGGCTTTTCTAACTTGTTGATTCATTTCTGTAGGGCTTTAGATGTGACTTCTTGTAGTCATCATAGGGAATCAAAACATACAAGAAAACTGGGTTTGTTTTGTTTTGCTTTTGAGACAAAGTTTTTCTGTGGCTTTGGAGCCTGTCCTGGAACTCACTCTGGAGACCAGGCTGGCCTTGAACTCACAGAGATCCACCTGCCTCTGCCTCCAAAGTGATGGGATTAAAGGCATGTGCCACCACCACCTGGCTCTTTCTTTGTTTTCTTTTGTATGGGTATGAATGAAGAAAAAAAGAGAGGGGGAGGAGAGTGAGAAAGAGGAGACTGCTTTAGCCTAGTAGAGAGGAGCTAGAGATGGGATGGATGGCCCAGGAAGAGAGAAATCATCACTGTAGCACCTGGGAGTCTGGCATTCAGCCATCTTGAGTAGAATTGGGGTCTGGAAAGTAGGATTGTGGGGTTCAGAAGCTAGGCCATCTCTGTATCTGTAGGTTTCTTATCTGTAGATCGAACAAATTGTGGATGGAGAATGTTTGGTGAACCCTTATGTCTATACTAAAAGTATACATGATTTTTGAGTTTTAGACAGGGCCTCTTGTAGACCAGGCTGTCCTCCAAATCCCTATGTAAGAGGCCTTCCTACCTCAACCTCTTGAGGGCTGGGGTTCCAGGTGTGAACCACTGTGCCTGGCTGTGTGTGTGTGTGTGTGTGTGTGTGTGTGTGTGTGTGTGTGTAGGCATTATTTCCTAATTCATGTAATTACTGTGTACATGGCATTTATATTATATATTGGGTATTAAAAGTCATCTAGAGATGTTAAAATAACAGGAGGATGTGTGGGTTATATGCAAATAGATCCTTTCATATAAGAGACTGGAATCTGTAGTGTTTTGCGTTCCAGGAACCATTCTATTATGGTTATTGAGGAATGAATGGTCTTTTTCGGGTAAAGGTCATCTGCAATAATAAAATAATAATTAGCTTCTGTGTACTTACTGTGTTCTGAGCTCTGTGTTAAGTGCATTGAATTTGTTGTTTGTTTAAACTCCATGAGAACCCAAGTTCTAGCTACTGTTTTTATAACCACTTTACAGATAAGAATACTGAGTTTTTTGAGATAAAGTAACTTGTTTAAGGTAACAATATTGTAAGTGATTTGGTTTTTGTTTTTGCTTTTTGGTTTGTTTTTTTTTTTCCCCAGGCAGGATTTCTCTGTGTATCAGTCCTGGTTGTCCTGGAACTCACTCTGTAGACCAGGTTGGCCTCGAACTCACAGAGATCTGCCTGCCTCTGCCTCCAAAGTGATGGTATTAAAGGTGTGTAAAAGTGTGTGCTACCACCGCCCAGCTAGGTTTTTTGTTTTTCTTTTTTTAATAGAATAGCTTTTATTTATTCTTAGGCATTTTTATACATGTACTCCCTGGAAGAAACTCTGCCTCCTCCTTCTACTCCCTCTAGATACCCCAAATGTGTCCTGCTTCCTTTCATGTCCTTTCCTCTTTTTATATATTAATAACCCACTGAGTCCAGTTAATGCTGTCTCTCAGATGTCACCTGATCTTGACTTGACCTCATGCAGGTGACTACAGCTGAAATGAGTCCATGGGAGCAATAGGCATGCCATGTCCTGAAGACAGTGTGTTACTGCACCCCACTCCACCCTCTGGTTCCTACATTCTTCCCACCCCCTCTTCTGAGCTGTTCCCTGGGGAGGGGGGTTTGGATGGATGTCCCAGTCAGGGCTGAGTGCTCCATAGTCACTTATTTTCAGCACTGTGATCAGTTCCGAGTCTGCCTTACCTGCTCACCACTGCAGAGAGAAGCTTCCCTGGCCACGTTTGAGGGCAGCACTGATCTGTGGATGAGCACACATGTTTAGAAGGCAGTTTGACAACACACTATTTAGGTTTCTCCCTAGGGTGTAGTTGGGGTTTGACTGTGGACCAAGCTGTCAGTCTGTCCTGCCAGGCCTGTACTTTATGCTCTTTTTCTCTTGGCTGCACACGTAGTCTTAACCTAATGTGTGTCTTTGGGGCATCCTCTGCTCAATGCCTCCCTTGGAATTGATTGTTCTCCCCCACACCTATCAGATTAGGGTGAAGGGGAAGGGCCGTCCTCAGTCTTCCTTTTCCTGATTGTTCACTGAGAGAAGCATTGTTTGCCTTTTTCTCTGTGGAGAAATCTGAGGATGAGAGGAGATATGAATGGAGAAAGTTACAAAGATCCTAGCCTCTCAGGCAGTCACAGTGCCTGGGGAGTTAAAGGGTTTTGAGTTAAGGATTTAGTTGGCTTCTCCTCTGACCATTTCTTATCCTCCTGAAGATAGGGCTTCCTCCAAACACAGGAGAAATGCCCTAGAGCCCAGCAACTAATGTAAGCGGTTATAGGAAATTTCACCCAGATGCCCTTTCCTAAAGTAAGGAGGGCAGACAGTGTTCTAGGGTTTGCTATTAGTTCTAGGCCCTCTCTGCTAGGCTGAGATTTGGAAACCTCTTATAAAGTGTCAGTAGGAGACATGATATTCAAACTCATGCCTGCTTGTACCCAGCCGCCGTGCTTTTCTAACAGAATACTGTTAAGTCTTCCCTGTGGAATTGCCTCAAGTCAGAATCTGAGCTATCCAGAGGCCCTCTGCTGGACCGAACCTTTTCGGTGTCCACACGAACCTTAACCTTAAGTGATACATCTCAGTACAGAGAGACTT